TTTTTTTTTTTTTGGTACCAGGGGTCAAATTTAGGGCTTTATGCTTGTGACTCAGGTCTGAGGCCACTGAGCTAAATTTCCAGCTAATCTTTTCTTTTCTTCTTTCTTTCTTTCTTTGAAACAGAGTCTCACTATGTAGTTGAAACAGACTTGGAACTCACTCTGTAGCCCAGGCTGGTCTCAAACTCGTTTCTTTCTTTTTTTGAGCTAGGATTTCACTGTGTAGCCCAGGTGATGATCCTCTTGCCTCAGCCTCCCCAGTGCTGGGAGGACAGGCGAGCGCCACCACACCCGGCTCAGTGGATTGCTGTTTTGTGTTAGCAGCGTTTCAGGAAGCTGGTACTTTCCAGTTGGCCACAGTGCAGCTATAACTCCTTTCCTCCCTCAGGCCACACAGACTCCGGGCTCCTTGTTGCCGACAACAAGTTGCTGCATGTAAATCCCCGGCAAATGGTACTTTGTGCTATGGTGAATTTGCCTCTTTCTTCCGTCTCCTGGCAGCTTCCACCTTCAGCAGAGGTTTTTATGTAATAGGTTTTCCTAAAGCGTATCACACACAAACAAAAATTAACTCAATGAGCAACCCCCCCAAAAAAAACCCCAACCCAAAAATCAACTCAAAATTAACTCACCTGTATCTCAGCTACTTGGAAGGCTGAGCGAGAGGAGTGAGACCAGTCTGGGCTACGTAGTGAGACCTCCCCTTTTTCTTTTCTTCCAAAAGATTGAACCTAGGGCCATCACCTTGAACTATATCCCCACTCTTTTCTAAAAAAATTTGGGGGGCCAGGGATTTAGCTCAGTAGTTCCACCGCCTGCCTTATAATTGCAAGTTCCCAAGTTTGATCCCTGGTATCAAAAAAAAAACAAAAAAAAAATTAGTTTGAGACAGGACTCACTAAGTTGCCAGATTTTCTAGCTTAGTCTCAAGCTAACCTGAGCCTGAGCTACACAGTGAGTTCAAGGCCAGCCTGAAATACAAAGGAGACCCTATCTCAAAAAGGGGGTGGGTTCTGGCCCCCATATACTTTGAAATTAAAAAAAAAGGGGTTGGCAAGAGTGTTGGGGAATGTTACTCAGTACAAACATCCCGAGTTCAATCCCCAGAACCACAAGAATAAAGTCATAAAATAAAAAATTTAAAATAAATAACACATTTTATGTGTATTTATTTTTTTTCCCTTCGTCTTCTGGTACTGGGGATTGAGCTCAGTACCTCACATTTTCCGGGCAGACACAGCATCACTGAGCTACATCCCCAGCCAATACTGCTATGTTTTGTTTTGTTTGGTACCAGGGATCGAACTTGACTCTTTGAGGCAGGCAGCAGAACCACTGAACTAAATCCCCAGTCCACTGCTATTTGGTTTAAAAGACATTCCCAAAGCAGTGGATTTGCTTTTTGTTTTGTTGTTGTTGTTGTTGTTGAACAGGGTCTCCCTGTGTAGCCCATGCTAGCTTTGAACTCTCAGCGATGTTCCTGCCTCAGCCTCCTGAGTGATGGGGTTACAGGCTTGCGCCACCACTCCTGGGACAAAGCACTGTTTTTTTAAACATTGTTTAAACATTGTGTCTTGCCACACGTCCTTTGAGATGTCTGAAAAACACCTTTTCTCAGCACTGGGAACAGAACTCAGGACCTAGCAATGGGGGGACAGTGATGCACCCCAGCCCTTTCCGAACTTTGGTTTGAGAAAGTGCCAGTTTGCCCTGAAACTTGCGATCCTCCTGCCTCAGTCTCCCAAGTAGATAGGATGACAGGCCTACACCACCTCTTCCAACCTGTACATTCTTGTAATAGCATAAACCTGTTTTTAAAACGAACAGATTGAAAACTGCTGAGATTCTTTTTGAACTTTCTCCAAATCCCCTCATTCTTTCCCAAGGTTTACGCGTTGTGCCCAATGCTGGCCAACAGATGGCGCTAGAGGCCCCAGGCCGCCGCACTTGAAGACCGCGGTCTCTATGGTTACTTAGGACATGCATTTACTTGCATTTTAAACTTCTAGTTTTTCTTTCTCTTGGTTTTTAAAAATACTTCTCTCTCTCCGTAGGCCTCACAGAGCACCACTGGAAGAGCCCTGCCCATCTCACCTCACCATTAGGCCCCTAGGAAATCTCAAGAAATGAGTACAAAACGCCCGTCTACATTAGACTGAGTTAAGATTGTTGTTTCTGAAAAAGGCGAGGAAAGTGGCGGAAATCCCTCATGTTCAGGCTGTTATTCCTCTTTCTCGGACACTACCCCTCTGCCGAGGCCGCGGAGATACCAAGTCGGGGGATGGAGGCCCCACTGATCCCATGCTTGGAGTCTCTGCGGATATCGGGTTTCCCCACCTGTTTACCGAAGAAACCACCCTGGGAGCTCCTCAGCCTCCTAATCGTCCTCGGGCCAGGCTCTCAGTGCCCTCCCAGGGACTCGCAGAGGCCCCGGAGCCGCCCCCGAGGGACCCAGGGCTCCCGCCGAGCCCTCCAGGTAGTCTCGGCCACTTGCGGTCCCCAGATGAAAAGCAGGGAGGCCTAGAAAGGGCTGGCGGGGGGGTCAGCCCGGAGAGGGCACCGTCTGTCCAACACTGGGAGTGGGCTTAACACAAGGTCTCAATGATGACTGTGCTTCTCCTGGGGATAAAGGGATGCATTAGGACAGCTGTCATTTGCAAACAGTGAGAAAGATTACATAGGGCAAAGAGGAAAATTCCAGATGTCATTTTTTATAAAGTTTTTTTTTTTTTTTGGTGCCAGGGATTGAACTCCAGTCCTTGCACTTTCGAGGCAGGCAGTGGCACCACTGAGCTAAATCCCTGGCCCCTATAAAGTTTTTTGAAGTAAAGTCTTGCTATATAGTTCAGGCTGGCCTTGAACTCACAGTGATCCTCCTGCCTCAGCCTACACCCATCTTTCATAGCCAATTAGTAGAAGCTTTCAGTAACTACACAAACTTGAATCCAGCTACTAAGGGAGGACAGATACACAAGGGACAGAATGTCATTAGTCTGTCAGCCCCAGACATTCGGCATAAATTTGAAAAACTTGAGAGGCCCCAAGTCACGGTGACTCAGCTGCTGGATACAGGCTTTTCTGGATTTAGTAGTCAGGATCTGGAGGAGAATGAGAACCAGAGGAACTGAGAACAAAGACAGCCAGAATTATGGCTATGGCCACTGCAGTGCCACAGTCATCCAGGGGAAAACCCAGGCCAGTCAGGGAAAGCCTTCCTATTTTATTTTATTTTTGAGACAGGGTCTCACTATGTAGTTGAGCCTGACCTGGAACTCACTACGTAGCTCAGGCTGGTCTCAAACTCACAGCAATCCTCCTGCCTCAGCCTCCCAGAGTGCTGGGATTACAGGCGTGGGCCATCACGCCCAGCAAACCTTCCTATTTTAAATACAAGAAACTGGACCCTGGGCTTGTGGCTGTACTGGTTGCCTCTGGGGCCTGTTCTGTGTGTCAGATGGCTGGAGTTCCTGAGGTGAGGCACTGGAGGAGTGACGGGGTGAGGCCAGCACCCCCGTCATCTCCTGCTCTGAAGAAAAGGACTGCAGGGAAGAGGACAGCCTGCAATGGCCCTGTTCTCCGACACCTTCCTCTACTGGGAGGAGCCCAGGTGACCCAGGACGTAAGCAAATTCAGTTCCTTTGGGTACAGGGTGGTGGTTACTCCGAGGGGGGCCCTAGGCAGAGCTTTGTGTCAGTTCAAAGGTCAGCGTTCCACCATGAGGCTTTCATTGTCCTGCAGGGTCTTACTCCCTTACTAGGAAGAATTTTACTAGTAAAATTGGGGGAGCCTCTCCAATTCTAGCAAAGGCTTTAGGAAGAAAGTACCACCCCCACTTTGCGTGGAGACCCAAGTTCTCTGGAGAGGTTGGGAGAGACAACCTTACCTATAGCAATCTCTGGCAACCCCCGCCCCCCCCACTGCAGTAAAGTGGCAGAGACCTGGGTCACAGTTCCAGGACCAAGCCAGCCCCACCTGAACTGTGTGAGGGCAATGAGCACCCAAAAGAAGGAAGCTACTTCTGTGAACCTCTGGAGATCTGAGGCCCCTCTCCAGACGCCAGCACCGGTCGGTACTCACCGGTGACCCCTGACCCACCGCTTAAGTGGGCGCCTGTATCGGGACTCCTTCTTGTAACTGGACCCTCAATGTGGGTAATTTTACTAGGATACAACTTTCAGGCTCCTGGCAGTTTATCTAATATCCTTCTTCCCAGGAAGCATGGAAATAAAACTCCTTAGGAAACTCCCACATAGGAGCATGGAAAAGTAATCTCTCCAGTTACTAGGTCTGCCACAGTCCACCTTTTAAGACAGACTGGGAAACACTCCGACCTGCTCCTTCCTGTTTTTGGCCCCTGCCTCCTCAGACGGAACAGTAAAGTTCATCCATCCATTCAGGGCTTCAAAAATCCACCCCTGGATGATGATCCGGACTCTCCTGGCAAACTCACTGAGCTTTCTCCAGAACAGGCAGCCTGACAAGTCCTGACACACAGGCACGCGCTTTGCTCAGTCTCCTGTGACAGGTTCCTTCCAGCCCAGCCAGTGCGTCCCAGGACCCCAAGGTAGAGGCGAGCACAGGGTCCCCAGCAGGCAGGGCCTAGACCCCTTTTCAGCAGGAAGCAGGAACAAGGAGAAAGAGGCTTCCCTCCTGCAGCATCGTAGAGAATTATGGGGTTCAGGCTGAGGGGCTCAGTCAAGTTTGCCCCTGAGGAAAAAGTTATGGTGATTGGGATGCTCAGGGGGCAGTGAGGTAGGAATTAGGGCTGAGGCCAAACCAGTCCATCTATCAAAGTCAGGAGACTCAGGGCAGAGGCGCAGAACACAGGCGCCAGAGCGGTTCCTGAGCAGCCTACAAGGAACCAATGAGAAAAGTGCTGCCTTCAATTCTTCATTTTACATCTAGGGTGAAACTAAGCAAGCCTTTGATAGGACAGTTTAAACCTGGCACCAGCCCAGTGAATTGCTGATAGGACAACTGTCCCCATGCCCTTTTTGCATGAAGGAGAAGTCATCCAGGGAGTGCAGATACAGAGACCCTTTCCTTTATCCTTGTAAACTTCTTTCCCATCGTCAATACATGTGCATCCGCTGCATTTCCTGTGTGTCTTGTCTGATTGTTCAGGACACTGAGAACCTGGAAAGCGTCTCACCAAGAGCCATCCATCATCTGGCAACACCTCAAAATGACAAGCTGAGCCACAGACTGGCAGGGCCACTTCAGGCACAGAATGCTCCGGCTCTGAAGCTCACAGAGTGGGGATAGGGCAGTCGGGGAGGGGCGGGTCCCAGAGGCAGCCAGGTGCGAGACTTATGCTTCTGATCCTAGGACTTGGGAGGCCGAGGCAGGAGGATCACAGCGAGTTTGAAACCAGCCTGGGGTACATAGTGAGACTGTCAAGAGAAAGAGAGAGAGAGAGAGAGAGAGAGAGAGAGAGAGAGGAAGAAAGAAAGAAAAACGTTAATTCCCAGAGGCAATACTGTGGTTTTGTTTTGTTTTTTGAGACAAGGTCTCCTTAAGTAATTCAGACTGGCCTCAGACTTATGGCAATCCTCCTGCCTCAGCCTCCTGAGTGCAGAGTTGCGCACCACCACACCTGGTTTTGAAGCATGTTTTTTGACTCCCTAGCAAGTAGGGTTGTGGGTAGGATGTCGGTGGGTGGTGAATTGAGTGCCACTTCTCAGTGAACCCACCCAGACGCTTCATATTTGGGTGAGAATCTATCAAAGAGGAAATGGAAATCGGGGTGCAGTGGGCTGATGATCTGGGAAAGCCCCCTCCAAGATGTAGCATTTGGCTGGGTCATGATGGAGAATTCGGGAGCACTTGTGCAGAGGAAGTGGTGGAGGGTGAGGTCAGATGCCCACCAAAAATTTGTGTTCTTCTTCTGCCTTGTCATTTCCACACTGATAGCAAACTTCTGCAACCAGTTTTTGTTTGTTTGGTTGGTTTTGTTTTGTTTTTTGAGACAGGGTATTGCTATGTAGCCCAGGCTGACCTCAAACTCGGTGGCAATCTTCCTGCCTCAGCCTCCTGAGTGCTCGTATTACAGGCATGTGCCACTATGGCTGGCTTTGAGGGATTTTTATTCAGGCTTTATCATATAAGTGTGACAGACTTCCCACACCAATTCAGGGTTCTCAGTTTCTGGAAGATGGGGGATGGGGTGGGGCTAAAGTTCCGGCCTCTAACTCTGGCCTGGTCCTGCTGGTGACCACTGTTCACCAAGTGCTCAGCTAGGGCATCTCACTGGGGCTAATGCCACTCCTAGCATCCAGGAAATCCCAAGGAAATTAGGAGCTCCGTGTCAGGAATTGGAGCCAAAGACCAAATACTACAACAAATTCCCAGCACCCCTTATGAAACAAGAAAGGACAAGAGTCTTAGGAGCTCTGTGCTGGAGGCAGGGGCCAAATAGATGTAGGTTCTGCCTCTTTGCCACGGGGGAACTACATTTCCCAGCACACAGCTGGGTTCAAGGGACTACATTTCCCAGCAATCCTTGCATATAGCTGGGCTCAAGGAATGGGGTCCGGCCAAGGCAGTGGAGGCTGAGTTTCCATTGTGCTCTACACAGGCCTGCGCCATCCCATAGCACTCTTCTCTCCACGTGCCAATCAGATGTGGACGTCAGTGTATTACTTAGCTATGGTTGTGTAACAAGTTACCCCAAATTCCTCACAGCTTAAAAGAACAAACATCCAGGGCTGTGGAGGGTGATGCTCGCTGTGGGCGCTTGCCTGGCGTTGCATGAGGCCAGTACTAACCCAGCTCCGCAGATCTGAGAGTTGAGGATCCCGGGCGCTTGGCTGGTGGCTCCGGCTGGGCGGGTCTCACGCGAGGTCTCAATGGGGCCCGCAGCCAGGGCTGTGGGCTTGTGGGTGTTACCGGTTCTGGGGTTCTTGTAGACTTTTTCCAGGTCCGTGGTGTCCTGAACAAAGAAATAAGCAAGACACGCAAAGAAAGTAGTGAGCTTTTACATTTAGTGTGGTAGGAAAAGAAGTTCGCCCTAAAGAGTTAGAGCAGATGATGAGCCAAGATCAGGGTGGAAGTCTTTCATATCTCTTATGCTTCAGGCTGCTGTCAGACCTAGGCCCTCCAAAGGCCTGCTTTATTTTACACGAGACGAACTGAAGATAGCACTTTCGGATTGGTCCCAGGTGCCTGGGCCGGGACCCTGTGTTCTGCGCATGCGTCCTGGAGCTCTATGATTGACAGCTGGCCCCCTACTCCCTCATCTCCTGCCTCAGAAGGGGCTCCTGTGGGAAGACAGGAGACTAAACATAGCACCCTGAAAAGAAAAAAAAAAGAGAGCACCAAAGCAAATAAATTTGAGCAACAAAAAAGGAGAATAGCCCATCGTAACTCATGGCATAAAATAGGAATCTTTGGTCTGTAATCCCAGCACTCTGGAATTGAAAGTTCAAGGGCCATGTGAGCTACACGGTGAGACCTTGTTTTAAAAAAGCAAAACAAGCCGGGCATGGTGGTGCACACCTGTAATCCCAGCACTCAGGAGGCTGAGGCAGGAGGATCGCTGTGAGTTTGAGACCAGCCTGGGCTACATAGTGAGTTCCAGGTCAGTCTCAACTATACAGTGAGACCCTGTCTCAAAAAACAAGAACAACAACAACAACAAAAACAAAACAAAGTATCTGCTCACAAAGTTGTTATTTACAAAAGGGACAGGAGTAATTTGGCCATGGAGAAGACTGGCAGGAGCCACCTGAGTCCTGTGACCAGAGCAAATATAAGCATCAGAGTGCCAGATGTCCTGAATACTCACATGGCTTTCAATGAGGGGAACACGGCAACAGGTCAGTGCTTTCTCTGCCAAAGAATCTGACCACGTGGGAATGGCAGACAAACACACAGAGGGCAGGCGGCTGAGGAGGGGCTTTTAGTATTCAGGGAAGCGTCAAGGTCACGAGAGATCAGAAAGATTGAAACTGGAAGATAAGAACTGTCCTTTTCTGACCAGTGTGTGTGTGTGTGTGTGTGTGTGTGTGTGTGTGTGTTTCACTGGGGGCTGAGCCAGAGCCTTTGCACTAAGCTATATTCTTACTCCATTTAAAAATTTTTACTCGGCTGGGCGTGGTGGCGCATGCCTGTAATCCCAGCACTCAGGAGGCTGAGGCAGGAGGATCGCTGTGAGTTCGAAATGAGCCTGGGCTACATAGTGAGTTCCAGGTCAGTGTAAACTACATGGTGAGATCGTGTCTCAAAAAACAAAAGCAAAAACCAAAACAAAAATTTTTACTCATTAAATTGCTAAATTGCCCAGGCTAGGCTTGAATTTGTGATCCCCTGGCCTCAGCCTCCCAGAATGCTGCAATTATAGGTGTGCATCACCACACCTGGCTCCTGGCTGTTTCAAAGTTAAGAAAAATTCTGTATTTTCCAAGATAAAAAGCTCTTCCATGGCAAATAAACATCTCAAGCAAAGTGAAAAGATACATGACGGCCGGCACGGTGGCGCGGCACAGGCCTGTGATTTTAGCATTCAGGAGGCTGAGGCAGGATGATTACAAGTGACAGCCTAGCCTGGCAGCTTACCAATGTAGCAAGACTTTGTTTCAAAATTTTAACACAGAGAGGCCGGAGATATAGCTCAGTGTGAAAGCCCTGGGTTTGGTCCTGAATACGGAAGGAAAAAAAACGCCACAGAGTTATAGACATCTCCATAGGGAAGACTAGCAACCCAACACTAATGTAGATAAAGGATTCATAAACATAGTTCCCTCAAAAGGAAATCCAAACATTCATAACCCTATAAAAGTTTATGACATTTCAGTTACAGAAAGAGAAATCCAAGGAAGGCCCAGCTTCACCGCCTCACCTTGAATCAGACAGGCAGCAATCCCGGCGGCTGACACGCAGCTCTGTGGAGTGGGGTTTATGGAGTTATGGGGTCAGAGTGAATGGGCCTCGAGAGGCTCCGGTCTCTACACCTGCCCAGGATTCAGGCTTTGTCCCAGGATCCCCAGGATTTGGGCTCCAGTTTCTCTACATGTGAAGGGAATGTTACTCTTTGTAGCAGTTTTGTAGTTTTTAAATCACTGTATTTTTTTTTAGACAGGGTCTTGCTTTGTAGTCCAAGGTTGGCCTCAGACTCACTGTGACCTTCCTGCCTCAGCCTCCCAAGTGCTGGGATTTCTGGATGTGCCATCATGCCCGGCTTCTTGTTTTTTGTTTGTTTGTTTGTTTGTTTTGTTTTTTTGAGACAGGGTCTCACTATGTAGTGAGACTGACCTGGAACTCACTATGTAGCTCAGGCTGGTCTCGCACTCACAGTGATCCTCCTGCCTCAGCCTCCCGAGTGCTGGGATCACAGGCGTGTGCCACCACAACCGGCCTTGTTTGTTTTTTTGAGACATTCTCACTATGTAGTCCAGGCTGGCCTTGAATCTGTGATTTTGCCTCAGGCTCCCAAATGCTAGAATTGCAGGCAGGTGCTACTAATTCTGGTTTTGAAATTAGATTTTTAGTGTTAATTTTCTTTGGGTTTACCCTTCAGTTTTTTTTCTTCAGTTTTTTTTTTTTTTCTGTTCTTTTAAAATAGGGTATCACTGTGTCATTCAGGCGGGCCTTGAACTCACAATGTAGCCCAGGCTGGCCTCAAACTCATGGTGATCCTCCAGCCTCAGCCTTCCAAGTGCTTCAGGCACTGACATCCACCACTGTGCCTGGTGATTGTACCTATTATTACTGGGCACTATTTTTGTTTTCTTTTGTTTTTTGAGACAGGGGCTCACTATGTAGTACAGGCTGTCCTTGAACTCACTATGGAGCCCAGTTTGGCCTTGAACTCACAGCCATCCTCCGGCCTCAGCCTCCAGAGTGCTGCGATTATAGGCGTGTACCACAACACCTGATGGGGTACTAGTTAAAAAAAAATTTAACCAGGTTTAGTGGCCACACCTGTGGTCCCAGCACTCTGGTAGTCTGAGGCATGAGGATCACAAACTGGATCTCAAACTGGGCAATTTAGTGACTTATCCTGTCTCAAAATAAGAAATAGAGCCTAAAAGCTGGGTATGGTGGCGCACGCCTGTAATCCCAGCACTTGGGAAGCTGAGGCAGGAGGATCGCTGTGAGTTCTGAGTTCAAGACCAGCCTGGGCTACATAGTGAGTTCCAGGTCAGTTGCAACTACATAGTAAGACCCTGTCTCAACCCCCCGCCCCCCAAAAAAAGAAAGAAAAAAAAGAAATAGAGCCTAAAATAGTGATGCACACTTGTAATCCCTCATTGTCCAGATGAGAGGCAGGATTTCACCAAGCTGGTTGTGGCAGCACAGGTGTGTGGCCTGGACTGCAGCCTAACAAGACCCTGCCTCAAAAAACCAGAGAGGAGGACCAGGGGTTTAGCTCAATGGTTCCGCCCACTGCCTCACAAGCCCAAGGTTCCCAGTTCAATCCCTGGAGCAACAACAAAAAATAATTGTTAAAAAAAAGAGAAAAAGGAAAAAAAATTTGGTTTAGGGGTCGGGGATTTAGCTCAGTTGTTCTGCCACCTGCCTCCTAAGCAGGAGGTCCCGAGTTCGATCCTGGTACCAAAAAAGAAAAAAAACAGGGCTGGGGATTTAGGTCAGTGGCTCTATGGGTGCAAGGTCTTGAGTTCGATCCCCAGTACCAAAAACAAAAACAAAACAATGCCCCAGAAGAGAGAGAGAGAGAGAGAGAGAGAGAGAGAGGAAGAGTTAGGATCTCAGCTGATGCGTTTGAAGGAGGGACAGACATTGCAGGACCTCAGGCCACTGAACTCTGTACCCAACCTCACGAGGAGCCTGAAGTGCCCCATTTGCCAGCTTCCTGGAAGGAAATGGGCCCGTGTGCCGATTACTGTGACCCCAAGCTGGAGCGGCTGGTGAAATCTGGGATGGACATAGCATCACTGTTTTTTCTTCTATTCAGGACATACAAGGTTAGCCCAGGGTTGTAGCTCAGGGGCCCCAGGCCCTGACCAGCTCAAGGTCCCAAGATCAATTCCCAGTACTGAGAAAAAAAAAACAAAACAAAACAACTACAAGGTCATCCCCATACCAGACCTGTGAAAAGTTCATTGATTGCATTCTCTATCGATGTTTAAATGTTTGGAGACATCTCAAATTGTGAAATCCTTGGCTTGCTATATTTAGCTGTGAGAGTCTGATGGTGAATGTTTAAAGGAAAGTTAACAGTTTAAAGATTTACAGCGATCATTAACAAAGCACCACGTAGTTGTGAATTTTCTTCTCTATGGTATAAAAGCTTGTCAGACATTAAAAGATTTCTCCATAATCTATCTATCTATGGAGTGAGCGTCTCACTATATAATTCAGGCTGTCCTTGAACTCACTGTGTAGTCCAGGCTGACCTCAAACACGTCTGTCCTCCTGTCTCAGCCTCTGGAGCAGTGGGATTATAGACATGTGCCACCATGCCTGGCTTACTCCATAATTTTGTCAGAGCTGTTGTTGATAGAAAGCCAGCCAGGAATTTTGACAGAAATGGAGAAGATGCTGGTTTTTGTTTATTTTTTCCCAACACTGAGGATTGAACCCAGGGCCTTTACACTGAGCTACATCATCAGCCCCCCTTTTTTATTTTGTATTTTGGGAAGGGGTCTCTCTAAGGCGCTAAATTGTCCAGGCTGGGCTCGAACTTGGGATCCTTCTGCCTCAGCCTCCCAGAGTGCTGAGATTATAGATGTGCATTATTACCACACCAGACTGGGAATTGATGTCAGATTCAAAAGATGACAAACTTCTTTGCATAACAACATGAATATCCTCAGCACCAGGAATAAACTCAGCACTTAGAGCTGTTTAAGATGGTGCATTTCACATTAAGCATATTTGGTCTTAACAAAGCACAGCCATAATCACTTTTCTTTGCTGGCTCTGTAATCTCAGAGTCCTTTGGGACAGGCCAGGGCAAGGTTGTACAGTATGGGACAGTGGTGTATGTGTGTGTGTGTTTGTGTGTGTGTGTTTGTGTGTGTGTGTGTGTGTGTGTGGTGCTTGGATAAACCCAGGGCCTTTGTTCTAAATCACATCCTCAGGCCTTTTAAAATTTTTTATTTTGAGACAGGATCTCACTAAGTTGACTATTCTGGGCTCCAACTTGCGATCCTCCTGCCTCAGCCTCCCAGAGTGCTGGGATTGCAGGCCTGCACCACCCTGCTGGGTTTTGGCTGGCTACACAATCTTCAATGGAGAATTCGTTTTCTTCCATCCAGAAACCTAACAGAAAAGTCCCCTTGCTGTTTTCTTTGTATGGGTTGGTAGGGCTTTTGTGTCATGATTTTGGTAAACTTAACATAACACAAAATTGCCATTTTGGGTTATTTTTATTGGTACATGCTTGTTTTTGTTTTGTTGTTGTTGTTTTTATTTTTGTTTTTTGAGTCAGGGCCTTGCCCTATAAATCAGGCTGGCCTTGAACTCAGTATTGTGGAGACCAAACTGACTCCATTTTGCTAACTCTGTTTTGCTATCAGGTCACTGCTGGAGAAACCCCGCGCGCCCTGTTACCTAGTTCTCGGCGAAACCCATGACTGACCGCGTAAGTTGTCACCAGATGTTCTCTTTTGTCAGTCTTACAAAAACGTGTGGTTGGGACAAGGAGGAACATCTGGCCTGGGCTCGTCAAGCAGTGAGAGGGCGAACCTGCGCTGGCAGTGTTGACCGGCCAGCGCTGAGAAGGCACACGCTTGCAAGACGTTAACCAATTAAGCACTGACCCATTTGCAGAGCCCCTGGTTCTGCTTCTCTGCTAAGAAGGGGGCTGTTTGAGATCGAGCTCAGAGCTCTCAGTACAGAACCACCTCATCGGTGAGGTCCGAGAGTCCAGGCTCGAGCTTGCAATAAACTCCTCATGTGATTGCATCGGACTGGACTCCTTGGTGGTCTTTGGGGATATCGCGATCTGGGCACAACAGTATGTAGCCCAGGCTGGCCTCCAACTCACAGCGTTCTCCTGCCTCAGCCTTCTTAGTGCTGGGATTAAAGGGTGTGCTGCCATGCCTGGCTTCCAATATATGTTTGTAATACAAAATAATTGCAATCATTTTTACACTTTTCCCTTCCTGTCTTCCAGTCTCCCCCAATTTGTCTTTTGTCTGTTTGTTTGCCAGGCAGGTGTGGCACCACTGAGCTCCATCCCTGGTCCCTGTTCATTTGTTTGTTTTTGAAACAGGTTCTCGATATGTAATTCAGGCTGGCCTCACACGTGCAGTGATCCTCCTGCTTCAGCTTCTGGAATGCTGGGGTTACAGGAATGCTCCACAATGCCTGGCCTGGGGGCGCCAGCTGACCCTTTAACCCAGGGCTTTGGGATTTTGAAAATGATTCTTTTTTTATTATTATTATTGGAATGTACCCATCTTACAAAATTTACCATTTTAGCCATTTTATTTATTTTTATTTTTTGTAGAGCTAAGGATGGAACCCAGGGCTTTGAGCATACTAGGCAAGTGTTCCAGCACTGAGCTACACCCAGCCCTCATTTCAACCACGAAGTGTATGTGTGGGACGGTGGCACACGTCTGTGATCCCAGCACTCAGGAGGCTGAGGCAGGAGCATCATCAAGAGCTGGAGGCCAGCCTGGGCTACGTAGTGAGACCCTGTCTCAAAGTAAGTAAAAGTGTGCAATTGAGTGGTGGCGAGTGTGTTTACCATGTTGCCCAACCATCTCCAGTAGTTGCAGGGCGTTTCATCACCCCAGAAGGAAACCCCGCAGCTGCTCAGCAGTGCCTTCCTATTCTGCACTGAATTATGTCCCTCCAAAAGACATGTTCAAGTCCCGAGGTGCAGATGAATAGAGTTAAAGTGAGGTCACACCTAGCCCACAGAGTGGTGTATTTATAAGAAGCTGGAAGCTGGCTGTGGTGGCACACACACGCCTATGATCCCAGCACTCTGGAGGCTGAGGCAGGAGGGCCTCCATGAGTCTGTGAGTTCAAGGTCAGCCTGGATTACTTAGCAAGACGCTGATGAAAGAAAGAGACAAAGAGAGAGAGGACACACGCACACGCAGAAGCCATGTGACATGGAGGGACAAATGGAAGTGGCATCCCCTACGAGCCCAGGGACGCGGCAGCAGGTGGGAAGGGTCCTCCATGGCCTCCCGAGCTGAGGCGCTGGGGGTGTGCGTCCAACCTCCAGCACTGGGTGGACCGGCTGCCTTCTCCAAGCCCTGTGTGTATCCAGGAGCCTCACTGGCCCATTCTCTCCCACACCGCAGCTGCTCTGCAAATTTCTGCCTCCAAATTTGCCTGTTCTCCAGGATTTTGTATGGTTTGGTTTTGGTCTTGGAGTTTTGAGACAGGGTCTCACTAGGTACTTCAGGCCAGCCTTGAACTCACAATGTAGCCCAGGCTTGTAGCAATCCTCCTGCATCAGCCTCCCTCATGCTGAGATCACAGGCATAGCCATCACACCCAGCTCTCCAGAGTTTTTGACTCTGTAGGTGAGGGGACCAGAGTGTGCCTTCCCGACACGTTTCCAGCAACACTGATGCTGCCCATCACCCCAACCACAGTGTGTTTGGGGCAGTCCGGCTCCCCTAGCCTCCCTGGTTCCTGTCACCTCCTAGCTCCAGATTTCAGTCAACAAACACAAGCTGGAGTCACCCCCAGGCCCAACAGGACCCCAGAGCCAGGTTCTCCACACAAACGCTCCTTGGTGGGGCAGCCCGTGCCCAGGACTGCAGAACAAACACTCATTCAATCCAACATAACCCCCAGCACCCATGGAGAACCACCTGACCTTATACTCGATGATGAAGTCACTTCCGTCCCTGGAGGACTCAGCGTCCCCTCCCTGCAGACACCTGCACAGCCCCTCTCTGACTCCCTAGGTGTGGGCTGTGTTCCCTCCTATCATGTGCAGCATCTGATCTGAGGCCTGCAGACAGGTAACAGGTGGCAGGGAGGGGTCAGGAGGTTGTGTGTGGCCAGAATAGCTGTGCCCCGAGGGACAGTGACCTCAGGCAGGCCCTGCAGACAGACAGCAGTGACTTTGCCACCCGAAGGGGACTGCTGGACATGGCTCCACAGAACAGGAGCTCCAGGTCTCTACACAGAGGTGTAAAGTTAGGACACAGGCCCCAGGCCTCCTGTCCGACTTCCTTCTCCCCTGGGCCTCCGTCCCCTCTCCCTGGGTCTCCATCCATCTCCCTGGGTCTCCGTCCCTCTCCCTGGTCTCCGTCCCCTCTCCCTGGCCTCCGTCCCTCTCCCTGGGCCTCCGTCCCCCTCCCTGGGCCTCCGTCCCCTCTCCCTGGGCCTCCGTCCATCTCCCTGGGCCTCCGTCCATCTCCCTGGGCCTCTGTCCATTTCCCTGGGTCTCCGTCTCCCTCCCTGGTCTCCGTCCCCCTCCCTGGTCTCCGTCCCCTCTCCCTGGGCCTCCGTCCCCTCTCCCTGGTCTCCGTCCCCCTCCCTGGTCTCCGTCCCCTTCCCTGGGCCTCCGTCCATCTCCCTGGGTCTCCGTCCCTCTCTCTGGGCCTCGGTCTCCCTCCCTGGGCCTCCGTCCCCCTCCCTGGGCCTCCGTCCCCCTCCCTGGGCCTCCGTCCATCTCCCTGGTCTCCGTCCCCTCTCCCTGGCCTCCGTCCATCTCCCT